GGTCACCAGGGAGTGCCCTGGAGTGCCCATAAAATGCCAGGGCTTATTTCCTGTTGAGAGGTCAGGGTTGCTCTTCGGATGGATGAAGGAGGGGCTGCACACGTGACTCTGAAGTGGCTTGCTTTTCTAGAATAGAGGAAAAAATAAGTAAACAAACACAACCGTGGAAGACTCTTAAAGCCCCCTCAGAAGTAGCCCCCAGCGCCTCGAGGGCCAGCCTGATGGCTGCCTATATACTGCTGGCTCTTTACATCTGGATTCTTTGACCTTGGATCAACCAAATGTGGATCAAACAGATTCAGGGAGAGCTGGAGAGATGGCTTGGTGGGGAAAGGGCTGACTGTACCATCATGAGGACCTGAGTCCAGATCCCCAAGTCACTTGCAAAAGCGAGGTGTGGCTGTGCACACCTGTAACTCCAGACTGGGATAGAGGCCAGATGTGGCGCTGTTAACCCCAGCACGCGGGAGGCAGAGGAAGGTGGATCACTGTGAGTTTGAGGCCAGCCTGGTCTACAGAATGAGTTTCAGGGCCAGCCAGGGTCACACAGTGAGATCCTGTCTCAAAAAAAAAAAAAAAGGAAAAAGAAGAGCTGGAGAAACGGTTCAGTGCTTAAGAGCCCTGTCTGTTCTTTCTGAGGACCTGGGTCAATTCCAAGCACCCATGTGGCAGTTCACAACTGTCTGTAACTCCAGTTCCAAGGGACCTGACACCCTCCGCCAATGTATATTGAATTGAATAATTTTTAAAAAAAAAGGAAAAAAGCTGAGCCAAGTGTGGTGACTCACACCTTTAACCATAGCTTCCGGAGGCAGAGGGCAGCAGACCTCTGAGGGTGAGGCCAGCCTGGTGTACAGGGTGATGTCCAGGATGATCAGAGCTACACAGAGAAGCCCTATTCAAAAATCACTAAATAGAAAGTTAAAAAGAAGAAGAAAAAGAAGCAGAGAAGGAGGAGGAAGAGGAGAAAGAGGAAAACGGAAGACCCCGGAAACAGTAATACTAAGGTGGAGAGGGCTATAAGCGAGTCATCAGGCAGGGATGCCTGCTGCCAGCTCCGACAGCCGAGGGTATCATCCCTGAAGCCCATGTGACGGGAGGAGAGAACTGACCCCTGACAGTTGCTCTCTGACCTCCAGACACCTGCCCATCCCCCGCCACAAAATAAAGACACATAAAAGGACATTTTTTTAAATATAAGGTACAGAGCGATAAAGACACGTGACATTGACCTCCAGCCTCTGTCTGTGCATGCTTAGGCAGGCACACCTGCTCATGTATGCATAGCTACTAGAACTGTGGCTAAGGACGTACAGGCTTTTTTCCCTTGTTGTTCTCTGAACAACACAACTGTAAAGACAGCCTCTGTGCAAGACAGAAGCTGGGCGCACTGCTTCCCACCCGCTGCCCAGCTGTTCAGGAGGCTGAGAGCAGACCATCACTTGCGCCCAAGAGTTTGAGCCGAACCTGGGAGACACAGCGAGACCCTGTCTCAAGGCAAATAAATACAACCTTGTCTTAGGCATTAAGTACTCTACCAGCAATTTAAAGTACACAGAAGGTACTTGGGGTGTGACTCAGAGGTAGAATGCTTGACTAGCCTGTGCAAGCTCCTGGACTCCCTCCCGGTGCTGCCAAGAGAATTAATAACACAGGATATGGGAGGGCATGTGCAAGTTACGTATGCAAATATGTGCACACAGGGTTTTGCATCTTGACACACCTTGGTATGCATGGGCGTGCTGGAACTTGTCCCCAAGGGCACTGAGGCGGAAGCTAAATCCTTCAGCAGTGAAGGTTGAGGGGTATCTGGGGGCCATGGTCTCTCTTCCTCACTCAGATAATGGCTAATATATACCTGTCACCCTTTCCTCCCCTGGGTGCTGGGCTCCCACATCCATTACTCCTGCTGGCTCTGCCGATGCAGCCTAAGCAGCCTACACTGAGCTTGCCCGATTCCCCCAGCCCACCTTGAGATGGCGTTATCACATCCCCAGTACTCCTGAATCCACGAGTCCCGCCCCTTTTCCTGCCACCTCATGGTCAGTCCATTAGCATGTTCTTCAGCCCCATCAGAGTTACACCCCCACCTGACTCCCATCTGCCTCCTTCCCCACTGGGCTGGCTATTCATCCCTCCTGCCTGGGTTACTGCAGAATCTAAGCTTGTCTCAGGAGTCTCCCCATCCCCAAACTTCCACGATGGTTTGAATCTAGAAATGGCCCCTGAAGGCATATTGTTAACTCTTTTTTTTAAAAATATTTTATGGTTTATTTAACTTTATTTTATGTGCATTGGTGTGAATGTGTCAGATCCCCTAGCAACTGGATCTTCAGACAGTTGTAAGCTGCCATGTGGGTGCTGGGAATTGAACCCGGGTCCTCTGGAAGAGCAGTCAGTGCTCTTAACCACTGAGCCATATCTCCAGCCCCCATATTGTTAACTCTTGATCCTCAAACAAAGGCAGCACTTTGAGACATGATTGGCTCGTGAGGAGCTGACCTGACGGACTGATCCATTGATGTGTCCACACTGTGATGGGCTCCTGGGACTCAGTATTGGAAGTGAGATATAGTTAAAAGGAGCAGACATCTGTCCCTGGTGTCTGTTTCTCTCCTCCTTCCTCTCCCATCCTCCCCGACCCGGTCCTTTTTTGCCACCACGAGGTAGCGTCCTCCCTCCACATTGCCCTTTCCATCTCAATATTCTGCCTCCTCACATGGGCCGATGCAGCCACGGGCTAAGACTCCAGAAGAGCCAAAGTAAAAATTCCCTCTTTTCAGTTGATGCCCTCAGGTATTTCGTCATCACAACAGAAAGCTCAATGGTGCGCCATCCATCCACCACAGGGCAGCCAAGTGGACTTTGTCAGGCTTATTTCCTCCTGAAACTGCTCCACGGTCTGCTTATCACACTCAGAATAAAAGCTGTGTCGCAGTGGAAGGCCTCAAGGCCTCTGGCTCACTGACCTCATTTACCTCAATCTCTTAGCCAGTAGGCCACACCCTCTTGCTGACCTTGAGGGTGTCAAACACTGGCAAAGTGTTGTCTCTGAAGTCATCAGGTGTCCAGTGTCCAATGAACAGTGAACCAGGGGCTGAGGCTGCCAGACTCCTTTCTCCCCTTGCCTTGTGCTGAGGTGGGGGACACAGAAATGAACCTGACGCCTTCCTGCCCTCCAGGGGCTCAGTCTGGGTCGACACCCATGAGTGGACCAGCACAAGCCTGTGCAGGGTGTTTGTAATAAGCTACTACACACAGGGTAGCTGATGAGTGACAGAAATCTACTTTTTATGCTTTGGGAAACTGAGATCAAGATGCCCGCTTGGCCTAGGTGTTTTGAGACTGAGTCCTTAAATCCTTTTGTGGCAGGAGCTTTCAGGGCTGGTGCTTACATTCCCCCACACCACCCCCAACACCACTTTCTTCTCAATAGGTCTCTTGTATAGCCAAGGTTATCCTCAGCCTGACTGTGTTACCCAAGACAATGTTAAACTCCTGATTTTCTTGCCTCTTCCTCCTGAGCGCCGGGATGACAAGCATGTGCCACCACACCAGCTCTGGGCTCTTTTATAAGAACATGGATCCCAGTGGTGAGGATTCCACCTTCAACAGCAAAAGTTTCAAAAGCCCCACTGTAATATTACCCCCCGAGAGTCAAGACTTCAACTATGAGTGAGGTGGGGGGCACAGACTTGTATCGTTCTGCAGTGCCCTGGGAAGAAGAACCTATTCACTAGAGTGTGTGAGTGTGTGTGTGTGTGTGTGTGTGTGTGTGTGTGTGAGAGAGAGAGAGAGAGAGAGAGAGAGAGAGAGAAGAGAGAGAGAGAGAGAAAGTACATGGCCTTCCTTCAGCTGTAACTTTTCTACTATAAACAGTTCCTAAGCTCCTCTTCCAGTGATGAGGGGTGAGCTGGGACGTGTTTTGCGCACCCCAAAAGGGGAAGCATCCTGGTATGTGACTCAGAAAAGAGAAATGAGTCTCTTGAACCCAGACCCACGACAGGAACAGTGCCTTTCCATGCACGCATGAGCACAGGCAGACCCGGCGCCCTCCCTGCTCCCTGTGTATCCTGCAGCCTCTTGGGCTTGCTCTGTGCCAGTCTCGTTCCCTGGCTCCTGGTCTTCCTACTGGTCTGAGATCCCGTAATTACATTACACTGTTCGGATGTCATGTGCTGTTTGTACTCATGTAGAACTTTAAGACAATTCTGAAGCCATTTCTGACGACTCTCAGTACTTCCCCTCCTCCCCTGGGAACCAAGGACATAACAGCTATGCATGCACGTCCTGAGATGTTGGGAACTTTCCATCTCCCTGAATAGGGGCAAGATAACCCTAGGTGTTGACTCAGTTACTGATGTTTTGACTTAGTACCTGGAAAGTGGCAAAGTGACCCTCAGAAGTTTCCCTTTACCTCATCTGATCTGGCAACCACTCTCCAGCCAATTATTGGTAATAGCCTTTTTGAAGAAGCCAATTATAATAGTTAAAGAACAACCCCCAGACACCCCTCCCTTCTGTGGTTTTTCCCTTTAAAAATAGCCTGTACCAGACATTCAGGGTCTTCTAGCCTCCCAACTGCTTTTACATCAGCTGTGATGAGAGATGGTCTCTCGGGGTGACTCCTCCTCCCAAAACTTGGGTTTGCTGTCTACTTAATAAACTCACTCACTCTAAACTGAAAGCAGAGATCATTTTCCAGAAGGTACAGAACAGAGGCTATGATGATGCCCTCGGGGAAAGCAGTTAAGGAAGCTAGGTCAAGCTGGCCCCATAACAGTCCAGATCCAGCGGCTCATTTAACAGATGGGGAGGGGAAGATGGTGAGACTCGGGGTTGAGAGCTGAGTAACTCACATGCCCTCAGCACCATTTGACAACAATGTCCCCATCTCCTGAGACCCAGTGTCCAATCCCCAATACGATGTCGCTCATATATCTATCCCGTGCTTGTGCTTTCATTCTAGATATCGCCACTGAAGATTTTATTACGGATTTTCATGAAGCTGGACCAACAACCTTTGTTTCATCTTTGGTCCGGTAAGAGCATAATAAACACCATCAGTGCAGACTGCAAAACCAGGCTGAGAGGAGGCCACCACCTGGGACGGGGACTCATTTCAGTCTTGGAGCTTGCTGGTGAACACCTCGGCTCTGTCTAGGGGTGGGCCACGGTTCACAGACGCGTAGGAAGGCTCGGAGGTCCCCAGGGTCTTGGGGACAGCCTCCTGGGTGATCTGTGAGTCGTGTGTTGTTTCCCCATCAGAGTTGCCCATGTCCCTGACAGAGAAAGAGAGATAGCCAGGGTTAGGGGAGCAGAGCAAACCTGGACCCTGCGGCTGCTCAAGGCCTTAACTTAGTCCATTGCCTTTGAGGATGTAATCTCAACAACAGTATCTTTGTAGCCCTCGTGTTGTGTAAGGCCACAGGAATAAGGCCACGAAGTGTCACCCTTCTTGAAATTATGAGGATAGCTTCATGCCTGTGAGCTCGAGAATCAGAGGCCGTTGTTCCAGGCCTTCAAAGTGCCCTGATCATCAAGGCGACAGATCACAGTCAACAGTGATCACACAGGGTGGACAAGTCCAAGAAGGAAGCTTCCTGGAGGAGGGGGCAGATGCTCTGATCCTGAAGGAGGATCGTGGGTAGAAAGAGGCTTAGGGGATGAAGCAGGGAGAGAAAGATAGTCCAGCTGCTAACCAGACAGTGACTTTTGTCGGCTGCTGTCATTTATCACAGGTGCTTTGACTTAAATGCCAGGGGACAGTTGAATTTCACTGCCCTTCTCTGAGCCCATTCTAGCCTGGCTAGCTTCTGGGACCTAGTCAATTTCAGACAAGCTTTCCCATCTACTTCCCCACCCTCACTAGAACCCCTACCAGTCTTCAGAACCCCTCTGAGTTCTCCAGGCTTGCTAGGGCTGGGCTGAAGAGCACACTGTGTGGGGCTGGGATCCACTCCTGTGCAAGGAGCTTGCTCTTGCTGAACCCTCCTCCAGGAAAGCAGCCTGCTGCTGCTGCTGCTGCTGCAAGCCCTCTCCTAATGCTTCCGGATTCCCCAGTGAGCATACTACAGGCTCACTGAGTGGCTGTGTGTGTGTGTGTGTGTGTGTGTGTGTGTGTGTGTGTGTGTCAGGGTGCTGATTCATGCCCTGCTCCACCCTCCCAGGCTTCTGCAGTCCGAGACCTGGGTTCTAGGCCCAGGCTCTGACTATGAGATATCCTCCCCACTACCAGGCCTCAGTTTCCCCACCTGAATGGGTGAGTTAAATAGCAGCTCCCAAGCACTGCTCTGAGGGCTTCACGGAAGTAATTCCAGGTGACCTTTGCCACTCTATTGTACATGTTATTGTCACCTTAATTTTCCAGATGGGGAAACCAAGGACCTGTATGCCTTCCTGAGGTCACAAAACTCCATCACAGCTAAAGCCTGTCTCTTTTGTGCAATGTTGGGATTGAACCCAGAGCCTCCTACATTCTGGGCAAGTGCTGCACTGAGCTACACTCCCCATCCAAAAACTGAGATAGAAATGGGCCCACTCCCACAACCTGGGATGCACCTGAGCCCTTCCTTCAACCCTGGTGAATGACCTGACCATGAAATCCCAGGGCTCTGTTTGCTTTCACCCAGACCATGGCAGGCAGCCCTTGGCTTCCATTCCCTGCCTGGTCTCAAAGGACCCAGTACTGAATCTTCCCTGGGGAGGGTGTTGCTCAGACTCCAGCCCTCCCTCTCAGCTGGCAGTACTCACACAAGGCTGAGGACAATGGCTCCAGCAAAGCCCACGAGCAGGAAGAAAGGTAGGGAGCCCAGAATGGAAGTGATGACAATCATGCCTCCGCTCCGCCGGCCCGGCCACGTGTCGATGGCTGAGTACGGGATAGCTGCCGAGGACCACAGGCCACTTACTCCCCCAGAAAATGCCCCACCCTGGTCTTCTTCCAGTACAGAAATCCCCTGCTCTGGCTGCCTGGATTCCAGGGTGACCTACATACCCAGAGCCTGCCTGCCCCTCATCCCCTTCCATAACCTCCATGTTCCTGGTCACTCTCTTTGCGTGCAGAAGGTTAGATATATACTAACTCAAGACTTCTGGTGACATGGATAGCATACTTATTCCAAACAAAATAAAGTTGAGCAAAGTGCTCACAGGGGTTGTGGCTTTCAATCCTCCTGGTCAGTGTCACCCTTGGAAACAACGGACAGGTCCTACAGTGAGCAAGGGACTTTGTGGCACTGCCTACACAGATCCCTGGAGACCTGACTGAGTTCACACTCCACTTCCGTACCCCAGGTCTGGGTAGTCTCACATCCACTCTCCGGAGGCTAACCGTTAGGACCGGCTCCAGGAGCACTGGCCCTCCTGCCGCCACCAGAGTGCCTAGAGGGATTCCACCACACTAGCCAGACAAGGAGGTGGAGGTGTCCACTGTGTGAGGGACAGAGACCAGGCTTAGAGCCAGGACTCAGCTCCGAGGCTCTCAAGGCTGCTCTCTGCAAGACCACAATAAATGGGAATGTCACAGGAGTCATGACAGGGAGGGAGCATGGGTAGGATCACCCAGCAGCACAGGCATGCCTCATATACCCACATACAACATACAGCAAATAGGCTACACTTACACACTACACTCATTACACACTCATAGATGTGTGCCGCACACCATGTGCCTCACAGGCACACACAACACACTTGAACTCACAAGTGGTTCAGTCATACCCACAGCCAGGTACATTCACACATTCATCCACCCGTCAAGATCCCTCACACCTTCATGTCCCTCACTAGTGTGTGAGCTCAGGCAACCTTCTGGAGCCTCAAGTGGCCCTCCTCCTGCTGGGGCACAAGTAGGAAGCAGAGGTTTCTGCACTGGGGTCCCACACAGTCATGATCAGATGAGGTCTATCTCTGCAAAGCATGGATGTTCCCTGCATGTAAGTCCGTGCGACCCGGCACTCCCTCCTGAGAACTCGGGTGGGACTAGAGGGGGTGCAAGCATGACCTTGGTTGTTCTGCAGTTTCCTCACCCCTGCTGCCTGCCTCAGGGGCTCAAAGGACTCTGGGTAAGGAGAGACATGGTTCTTCCTGAGTTCTTCCACCTAATCTTCAGTCTTTGGGCCGCCATCTTGTGCTGTCACGGATACTTGCTATTGTGAGCATTCATAGGGCCACCCGTCTCTGAATCCAGAGAGGTGACCCTGACTTTAATACACTCAGCCTGGACTCAGCCTGGGAAGAGGGAAGGGATGGTTCCGATGAACGTACCTCAAGAAGCAGTGTACTCAACAGCACAGTGGCCAGTTGTTTGGGGGACTTTCCCCAGGAGCAGTCAACTCTCCTCTTGGTCAATCCCTAGCCCTGCACTGCTGGGGTTCCTTAAGGAGTATCCCAGGACTGACTTACCACCACCCCCAGCACGCACTTACGCCGGTTGGTACGGATGGGATCCGACCATAGAGTCTCGTCTTGTACCAAGCCTGTGGACATGTTGACCAGGACGTATTTGAACCTGGAAGAAGATGATTAAGAGTGACTTTCATCTATCCTTTGTGCCCAGCCACTGGAAACAGGAGAGAGGAGAACCATGGGGGACACACAGAAAGACTTCCAGGAGACAGCTATGGGTGGGGTCAGGACACCTGGTCCCTGAGTAGTATGACCTCCCCCATTTAGTCCCCTCCTTGGGCCCCCTGTCCTCCCACAGAGGCTTACACCCACCTGTACTCAGTAGCCGCCGTCAGGGGTGGGTTGCAGAGCCCCTGGAAGTTGGGGTCCCAAAGGCAGGTCCCGTTGTCGCCCACCCTGACTAGGTACGCGTTCAGGATCTCCGAGGCCTGGCTCACATCTCCAACAGCATCCAGGCTGGGCAAGTCACCGCAAGGGGTCAGGTCAAAGGCCGCAGCTTTGTAGGGGCCCGACCTCCCGCCCTGGGTTTGCTGGGAGGTGGTGTTCAGTGGAGTTCCGGCGCTGCTCTGTACAGACACATTCCTGGAGCTGGCTGCAGAGGCAGTGCTGGGAGTCAGGACCCTGGCCACTCAGCGGCAAACGCTCAGTCACCCATCACACACTCCCAAGCCCAAGTCTGCCCAGGTTGGTTCCGGGCACTAGGATGATTGGCATGTGGGCAAGCTCAGGGGGAACAGGAGTGCTTCACTGTGAGGCGGTGGGTTCATCTCTCACTTGCTCTGACTGGCAATGCCCTGTAACCCCCAGCTCAACAGATATCTGCCACCTGCAGCTGGCAGCCCTGGATTCTTTCCCCTGTAAAATGGGAAGGGGTGGGGTAATGCCAAGGTGCATGTGGCCGGACCCATACTGGATCTCACGTTTCTTCTTTACTATATGGGTGACTTGGACCAATCACCTGATATCTCTGGCCTCTGGGCTTCTGCGAAATGGCAGAAAATTACCCCCAGATGCCTACAGATTGGACACTCATAGGTAGCTGTAGAGACCTGCTCACAGGATGGAATGCTGGGAAATCTCAGGAGGCTGTTAGTGAGTACCTGGTTCCCAAACCCAGAAGCTTGCATTGAAGGGCTGTGGGCTGGGTCACGGGGCGCAATCCTGGGGAAAACCCTGAAACGACCGAACCTGAAATGACCCTATCCTATAGCAATACTGACGTATATCTTCCATATCACCATAGAACCTTCATCTGGTGATGGATGGAGATAGAGACAGAGACCCACACTGGAGCACTGGACTGAGCTCCCAAGGTCCCAATGAGGAGCAGATGGAGGGAGAACACGAGCAAGGATGTCAGGACCACGAGGGGTGCACCCACCCACTGAGACAGTGGGGCTGATCTATTGGGAGCTCACCAAGGCCAGCTGGACTG